AGTAAGGCACTTGTTACTAGAAGCGATGCACTTGTTCCTAGTAGCTTATTATATAGTCTGAAACATGTCTGAAAAGTCAAAGGCTGAAAGGTTTCAAGAAGAAGGAGATGTGACTCTTGGTTCAAGCCGACATGTGAGCTATCCTCAAACCACTTGTGATTCGGGATAAATTGTGAGAGACGCGGATCCTACAAAATTTGGACTTGAACATTCGGAAGAATGTCATTGAACATCAATAGTCAAGTTGCTTTCCCTCAACTATTGACCCACCAAGAAAGCTGCAGAAGGCATCGTTGACCGCTTCCTAGGACCCAAAAACGCCGTAGAACAAAAACATTGCCAAATGATCCTAGCAGCGTCCTTGCTTCTAGCAGGAAGGCCAGGAGCCCCTAGTAGCGTCCTTGCTCCTAGTCTGAGGACAAGATAAGTCACCCCAACAGCTGCTTTTGAGTTTACCAAAGAACATAAGCCCAGCGCCCTGGCACCCCAGCTTTCTCCAGCTTCCTCTTGAAGGTCTCGATCGAGGGGCCGAAGACGTAAAGATGATGAGGAGGAGGACGAGGAGATGGCCTCCAACCCAGAAGCGGTGGCCTCCAACTTAATAGCTTCGGAGCGGTTTTGTGGGGTCTCTGCGAAAACAATGTAGACACTTGCCAGATGTGCTGCTGCCAATGGCCAAGTGGTAGGAATACCAAAAGAGACGAGAAGAGGAAAGAAAAAAGAAAGAAGAGGCGGATGCTCTTAAATTGGTGGTAGAGGACGCTACTAGGAGCAAAGGGCATCGCTACTAGGAGCAAGGACGCTGCTAGGGGCTCCTGGCCTTACTACTAGGAGCAAGAACGCTACTAGGGGCTCCTGGCCTTACTACTAGGAGCAAGAACGCTACCGCTAGCAATTGCGCTGCTTTGTTTGGTAAACGATTTGGAGCGTCCAGTTCACTGGACGGAAGAGGCACTTCAGCGGAGAGAAGAGCAGCGACAAAAGGAGGAAGAGGAACAGGACAAGAAGAATATGAACATACCCCACATACCCCTTACATAAAACCTAGTAGCGATGGCCTCCACCCCAGTAGCGATTTGGCCTGACAGCTGATTTGTTATTTTTTGCTGAGTGGAGGAACGGCAAAAGATGGCAGAAGATGCCAAGCGTATGGTGTGAGACTGAGTGGTGATCTTCAGTGTGTCGGAAACCACAGAGACCCAGCTAGCAGCTAGACCATTGGACACCGAAAGAATGGATGACAACTAGAGAGCTTTTTTTGTTTCTTTGGTTCTTCTCTAACTGGACATCCTCCCCAGATTCACCGCTTGGATGCCGTCGCTACTAGGCTGGAGGCCATTGCTAGTAGGAGCAAGGATGCTACTAGGGGCTCCTGGCATCGCTACTGGGAGCAAGGACGCTACTAGGGGCTCCTGGCATCGCTACTGGGAGCAAGGACGCTATTAGGAGGCCATTGCTCGTTGGCTTTAGCTTCCCAATCTTCCCTGAGGACCGCACCGTGATGGTGGTGGGCCATGATCCCAGAGATCTCGCTGTCGGAGTGGGAGCGACTTTTTAGAGCTCAACAAGTTGACAAGTTCTGATTCACCTTTCTAGTAACAAGAAGCTGCTAGTAGCTCCTGGCATTACTACTATAGTAACAAGAAGCTACTAGTAACAAGGTGCCTTACCACTAATTAGTAGCATAGGCCTGGGTTTTGCACTGTTTGGACCTGCGGGACCCTCCAACTGTCGGACACTTACCGCTGTGCCCTGAGCCCTGAGCCCTGAGGCCTGAGCACACGGGCGGATGAGCGGGATGTCTTTGAGTTCTTCAGCGGCCGTGCTGGAACGGTCCGGGACTGACCACGTCGTGTCAGTCTCAAGGACTCTAGTAGCTTCTTGTTCCTAGTAGCGTTCTTGCTCCTAGTAGCAAGGCCAGGAGCTACTAGTAGCGAACATTGCTCCTAGTAGCGATGCCCTTTGCTCCTAGTAGCGATGCCCTCTTGGAAAGAAAGGAAGGGAAGGTATTCCCAAACGAACATTTCTTCTTCCTTTCTTCTTCCCATTTCCTTCTTCTTCTTCTTCTTCTTTGTTTTTTAGTCTCTTCGTTTGACCCAAAGAAGACAGTCCGCGCTCCAGGTGAAAGATGTGCAGATCATCCGCGACGCCCGGACTGGAAAGTCTAAGGCCGAAATGGACGAGACGAAGAACAGCCCAGCTGAAACGAACGTAGCTTGCCCGAAACTCTTAGCATCCAGCCAATTCTTCCTCTTTCTCCTCCTCTTCTTTCTTCTTCTGCTTTGCGCATGACTCACACAACAAGTGCCACGCCGTGCCACGGTTCGGCAGGGCGTGTGCTTTGTCGAGTTCTCCACTGCCGAGGGGATGGTGAAATCTCTCAGCATGACTGGGCAGGCAGATGCTGAGAATCTTATACCCAAAAGCTGTTGCGGATGCTTTTGGTTGTTTGTAGTGTTCTTTCTTTGTTTCGTTTTATAATTCTTTTTGTCACTCTTCAGGTTTTGTTCTCTGGACATGTTTTTGGAACTCCATGTCGGTGCCATTGTTCACCTGGTTGCCGCCTCGCACGCCAGACCATCAAGGGTGCCCGAGTGCAAGTCCAACAGAGCCAGGTTGCTGAGGGGCGTGGCACCCATGCCAGTCGGGGGAAGTTTTGACCGGTTTTGAACGAAAGACAAGGGCAGTGAGAGTATGGCTCTGTCCGACTACTTGTAACAGCCGGCAATAACTATCACTATTTCAGAGAAAGGCCTTCAACCTAACCGTCATCATCCACTGGTAATGGGATACACCCAAAGTATGGGGATCTGAGAGTTGGAGCTCGGGGTTGGGTCCTGAAACACAACTGAATATTTTTTGAATAAGGCCATTGCTATTAGGTTGGACGACATCGCTATGAAGCTTCGCTATGCAGGTTGGACGCCATCGCTATGAAGGTTGGAGGCCATCGCTATGAAGGTTGGAGGCCATCG